AAAATAATTAATTAATATTTATTTAATAAAAATCGAAACCGAACCAAATTCATTGATAAAAATTGGTAACCAAACCGATTAGCTTATAACAATTTTGGTTTGGTTTCAGTTTGTAAAATTAAAACCAAATTTTTTTGGTTAATTCAAAATCGGTTTCGGTTTTGAACCGAAACCGGTTTTGCCCACCCCTAGATACATCTCCATTGCTCTCTTGATTAATTAATGTAAGTGGGTAATATAGATGCTATATATAGCCTAATTGTTATTGCATCTTACTTTTATTTTCTTTTATTATTAAAATATAATAAAAGTACTTTTCAATTTAAATAGAAAGCAAAATCTAAAAAACCATAATTTTTAAACGTAGACATAAAACTTTTGAGTTTGAATACAGAGTCATATTTAAATATTTATTTAAAAAAATAAAATCAGAAGTGAATAAATGTCAACTATTCATATTAGAGAGATAAATATTAATATTTTATATAAATAATATGAGTAAAAATTATATATATATAAACAATGTGAGTAAAAGTTATATATAAATAAATGTTAACCCTCTTAGAATTATAGTTGTTTGCGTTGTCATATTCCTTCTCTCTAAATTGAAAAACTAGGCCTTTAAAGATATGGCGAAAGCCTATTAGTCATTTACTTTAATAAATTTGTAGATTTTAATCTTTTACTTTATATTATGACACTTTTACTTCTTATTTATACGAATTAAAGAAAATAACTCTTAGTTAATATCAAGTTATAACGTTTTATTAGTTTTGTTAGTTAATTATTAGTTTTGTTAGTTGACTGTTAATTTTATTAGTTGGTTATTAATTCTATTAATTGACTATTAATTCTATTAACTGACTGTTAATTCTATTAGCTAACTGTTAGTATTCTGTTAACAAAACTAATAAATAAAATTGAATTTAAATTTTATATTTTTTATAACAAAATACTAACAATCAGCTAACAAAACTAACAGTTAGTTAACATAACATTAAATAAGAGTTATTTTCTTAATTCGTATAAATAAAAAGTTAAAAATATCATTATATAAAATAAAAAATTAAAACTTAAGATAAAGGACTAAAAATAGATATTTACCTTAAAAGATATTACCTCCCTGGGTGTAACCAGGAAAATGAGAGAGAAACACCATTTTCCTGCAATGTGATAGAAAGCTTAATGAACGGAATCTTAAGTAAAAAGGTAGCAGAAAGCAAGGGGCAATGGGATGATAGCAGAGCCCATGCTAAATGACCTTAGGGCTCTTTGGGGTCCCCCGTCTACCCAATATGACCTTTTGGGGCTCACAATTTTCGTTTCATTTATTCAGAACTTGAATGTCATAATCATGGATACGAGCAGGAAAACCCATACTGTCCTTTGCCTGAGACTCACCTCACCTAAGGTATGGCCACACCATCATGTGTATTCACCTTAGATAGGGCAGAGCATGATTCCACCGTTGTGTCTTTCTATGTATGCTTGGAGAGCCTTAAAGCAACTTCTATCTTATTGGTAGTTATGATGAGTGTTGGGAAACAATACCATGGATCTTTTACACCGAAACCATATCCTAATCTATTTCAGGATTTAGAAATTTGCAAAGGATTAATTTCTCTTTACTTCTTCAATAACTGAACTCTAAGGGCCTGTTTGATTATAGGGAAATCGACCAAAACGGGAAGGGAGAATTTTTATCCAATCAAATTAACACAATGCCATCCATTTCCCTGCAAGCAAACATGCCCCAAGTACCAACACCTGAACCAAAAAGATTTTTACTTACGTTGGCTACCCTGAACGTAAATTTTTTGTTTTGGGTCGTTTCTTCTGGATGGAACTATGTAGAGCAAAATTTGGATGGTTTTGATTACAGACAATTTCTTCATTTTTTTTTTGTCAGCAAAAATGTACAACTAAATACATGTTGGTATATATTATATAACCCCGTAACATTTTCAGGTAAGCTGCCTACATGCTGCTGGTATATTTCAGTTGTCCTTGCAATTTCTTGAATAGCTTGATAATCGCTGTGACTGAAAAAAATCAAATGGAGTTCCTGACCCGAAAGACCTTCTGGTAGAATTTGGAGAGTCTGATAGAAGAGGTTCATAAACAGGATTCCTATTCTTTGGTTGAGTAATCGATAACGGAGAAACATCTTCCTCTATGGTTCTAGCTTGCAGTGGTTCAATACTTCCAAGTGATAAAATTGGCCCTCCCCTCCGTTCAGCCTGCTGTAGGATATTTATTTTACTAGGTCTGTATGTGTACCGGAAATACTTCAAAGCTAGAATTGGACCCATGCCAGCGGCAACAATGAGCTGTAACAGAAACAGATTTGGTTAGCATGTGAATTTGGTAGCTTAGAAGATCAGCTTAGCTATATTTTAAAATCTTTGCCTCTTTCTTGGTTTTTTTGGTTCACTGCAGAAAGCCCACATTTGGTTCACTGAAAATGATTTCCGGAAACTTATAGGTAACATGACTCATAAGTATAATTTCGGAAACAAAATACTTGGAAATGGATGATACTCTTTTCTTTTTCAGAAAATAACTTCCACCACTAAAAAGGGGGTTGTCGTTTTTCTAGGATCTTACTTTTACTTTCCTTTGAAAATTATGTATGCATTTCGCCAGTCAATAATAGCTAAAATTTTCAATATCATTTCCCCTGAACCTAAAGGGAAGTATAAATGGGAATTTTCTTTCTTACACATTACACTTATACAATATTTTGACCATTCATCTCTCCACTTTCAATGGTTGAGATTTATCATGACTTTTAAATGAAAAAGATAATTATCTTTAATAAATGTGAATAAATCTCAACCACTGAAAATGGAGAGATATTTGGTTGAAATTTTGCGTAAGTGGATTCCTACTCATATATATATACACTATCCTATGTTCCTTAATTTGGATGTAAATGAAAACACCAAATGAATAAAATGGGCATACAGAATGGGGAAGTGAAACTTACAAACACAGTTATCCAATAAGATGGTTGCCTGCATAATCGAAACATAATTGTATACATCCCTGATGATGGAAGGGCACTGAACATCCAGTTGATGATATAGAAAGCAATTAAATTACCCCATATGGCAAGATGTTGCAATTTTGTAAAGGAACTGCAAGATACAAAAAATAGGAGGTAAGGTAGCTGAGATAAGGACTCATCTTAGGAAATAAAAAGGTAAAGTAGTTGCTGGATGAAAGCGTACTTTGTTTCTAATGCAACAACAAAAGCCTGCAACCATATGCATCCTGAAAGTGCCACCATTGACAGTTCTTCCATTTCACTTTTCTCATAGGCATAGGCATTTATGCTGATGACAAATACAACAATTGCCTGCAAATAAAATCCCAACATAAATAGATAATGGCTATTGTGAAAATGCTATGATGCAAAAATTTGAGATATAAACTCCGATATATATAGAAGATAAAAGAGAAAGGAAAATAGTTTGTAAACCATGCAAAAAAAGAAGAAAAGAGTTTATCTGACAAGCAGATCAACCATTATTCAAATTTAGTTGCTAGCTTTTTAGGTGATGAACTAGTTGAAAACTCAAATAACAGATCAATATAACATTGTTCAAAGAATAAGAATATAAATAATAAACAAAAAGACAAATAACAAATAAATAAATCCTCTGCTCAAACATCTTGACACTATAAGGCTTTGGTATATCACATTTCATTACTATTGCCCACATTTCTATAATGTATTCCTGTGCACTTGGGAGTTTTATTTAAAATGAGAGGATTACCATAGAGCTGCTTAATTCAAGTTCGGGTCACTCACATGATTTAAGGATTTCATGCAAGAGAAAGTCTATTGTGTTCCCAACAACCTTGTCTTTCCATTTCAAGTTTTCAACTAGTTCATCATGTTAGTTTTAAGTTGGCTCAAGAATCAGTAGCATCTACTAATGTAATGAACTTTTAGGTAACTTCACATTTCATTTTCAATTAATTACTTGACTAGGCAAATCAACCAGAAAACCTTAATATGTAAAGTCAGGGTATAAAAATTACAATATAACTGATAAAAATATAGAACAGCACTCACATGGAATAGGGACCGACCAAACCATCCAGCAAATGTGCTAGGATTAAGAAGCCTGTGTCAAAAATAATTCTGCATCAGTTTTATGACCATTAACCAAAAGGAACTGTAATTACCAGCTTCCATGATACAACACATCACACAGGTCTACATCAGAACTGCTGTGTTCAAGAAATGCAAAACCAATAAAGTACATGACAGCACACCTTCCCGCTTGGCAGTAGAATAAAATTTGTGGATGCTGCATCACTGTTTCTTCATTAAGATCCTTGTCAAGGACACTGACCAAAACAGGAATACTAGTGTAGAAAACATTATATGCCATCAAGCTGACAGAATTGAAAAGACTGGTTCCAGAGACACCTGAAATAAAAGAGAAACTGAAATGTTCTGATGTTAGCAGTTTGGCATTTACATGCAAATTCAGATATGGAAACCAGGGATAGAAAGCACCAAATTGACTTTGGATGCAGGAACTCACAATATTTGGATGAAACATATCAACAGAGACTTATAAAAGGAATACTGGGATAGGAAGGCTGTGCGGTTGTATGAATACCGGCCATGGACTAGTATCAATCTTTTCAGAAACCTGAACTCTGTAATCCAAGAGATGAATTTCAATAAAATAAAAACAAGGAGTGATAATATCCCAACAATTTGAAGGAAGAAAAAAAGCATCAGAAATGAAGGTTGCGCAATTGATTTAATCAAATACTACTTAATATGAGGCTATATATTTATCTAAGGTCAAACATTTCAGGCAACCATGAAAAACTGCACAGTATTTCTGAAGAAAGTTTTGTGCTCATCATCAACAAAACTAACAAGAGTTCCAATCCCTTTGTTGATTGAATCTAAAACGTAGTAGAAGGATAAATTACCCCCATTCGATTGAGAAGCAAATTTTGCAAAAGCCTAGTTCCAGAATTTAGTAGAGTGGAAAGAATAATTTTATTGCATCTATTTGGTTAAGAGAAAAGGTCCACATGATAATAAACAAAATCAGATTGGAAAGCAGCCAACTGATCATAAAAAATTTTGAAATACAATAGTTTAAGACGTATTCATTGAACAGATCTAGCATACTATAAAACAGAGGTAGAAAATGTAACAAATTATCATGAATACAGCTAATACAATTATATGTGGCCTCAGAAAAGCTAATAAAACCATGTTGTCTTAACAAAATTTGTACATTGATCAGCATCTATCCACATCTTCTATCCAAGTTACCATGAAATTTTCTTAGTTGAATATCAATTCCTTAACCACAATCAAGAATCAAGAACCCTTCAAAACCAAAAATGTCAACAGATAGATTATTGATTACCACAATACAATTTAAGGAGTATTGAAATCAAATTATATTTAACTTATCAGCACATATCAGCAATTAATTCATTTCCTAGTGCTTTTTCCCAAAAGATTTCACTGAAATCAAACAGGCAACATGAACATGGAACAGTTGGAAATATCATCTCAAAACCATATGTTCATAGAACGTCAGCGTTGAAGCATAATGGATAAAATAACCATAGATCAGAGGAAAAGGGTTTCTTAAAGTGGAAAAACCACAAAAGCAGTATTCACTTTTGCCTTTCAGATCCATCTTCCAAACTATATAAAACCTTAAAACCTGCATAAGAATATAGGTTGTCCACCTCAGTTCAATTACTAGTCAGACCAACGGTCTGGATACCCATGCTATCAAAAAATTGCTATGATTTCTTGAAGCTTAGTCAAAACACATAGCCACCACAAAAAATAATAATATAACATATATAATATAGTTAAGGAGATAGAAGAAGACATCTTAAAAGTAGTTATAATATCTGAATAGACTTACTTCCAATACTATAATCAGCTGCTCTGGCTGCCTGCAGCCCTTCTCTTCCACTAATGCCGACCCCAATATCAGCCTGTTGTATCATTCTCACATCATTGCCCCCATCCCCAATTGCCAACGTTCTATAGTCACAAGATTTCAACAGTTCCACAAGCTGCCAAAATGAGCATTTTATGCATTTATCATTTAGTATCCATCCCCCCAAAAAGAGAGAGGAAATAAAGCAGCAAATGTTCTTTATAAATACGCATAAGTTTTCCTATAGGTCCACATTAGAATCAAAGATTCCATTCAGAGTTAATAGAGAGAATATAATTTTTCATGACATTCAATTTTACTTAGAATCCATCATAAATCAAGGTAGTTTTGAAGGTTGAATCTCTTGGTATATGAGATCTAGACTTCTAGCAAGTCTAGCCCAAAATCTTCAAAGTTTAGAGAGGTAATATCCCTTCCACTTTTATGTTAATTGGAAAATATTCTTAAAACCATAAGCACTGTAAGTAATGTCCCTTTGAAAGCTTAGAAAGGTAATATCCCTTTCTCAATGACCCAAAGTCCAACACTCTAAGTCTCACATTCTTTATGATAATTGCAAAATATCCTTAAAATCATAAGCACTTATATTAGCCACAGAAAGATGAACCTAAAAGCCAGAAAAATGGAAGGATGAAAAAGTACAATGAATTGAAACCTGTGCTTTTTGTGATGGTGTGACACGACAACATATAGCAGTCCTTGACAAAGTTGCTAGTTCTGTAAAAGCTTCCCAATGATGTCTAAGTGCGATTTCGAGAGCCCAACCATCAACAACAAATGCCACATCCTTTCAGAAGTGAGAAAATTGAAGTGAATAATAATAATAACAATAGCAGAGAGAAAGATGAAGTGAACAACAACAATAATATTATTATTATTATTAATTAAATCATATTAAGTGACCCATTAAACATAGGTTACATAAACACTATTCTTGTAAGTAAAATAAATAAGATTAAACATTAAAAAAAAAAAAAAGGGAGCAGGAAGATGGAAAACAAATTTATTTAAAATTTTTTTTGAAATATATATTTGTATATGTACATTTGTGTGTGTGTGGATGGGTGGTGTATTTATACATGTATGTATGTATGTATGTCATACTGATATTACAGCACTAACTGATACCCAAGTGACCATTCATTTTGAACTCACCTCAGCAACTCTTGTATGGCTGAGCAACTTAGGGTAAGAGTAGCCCTTTTGATTACAAGGTTAGATATATAAGGCCTTCAGATTTGGTTAAAGACAGATAGAATTTGTAACCTACTTAATAGAAAAAAAAATTCAGCCACTCATTCAGACTTCTGGTTTACCAGCCAATATGTTAGCCTTCCCTTTCTATCACCATCCAAACTCATTGTGGTTTAACCTATTCTAGAAGACCGGGGAATATGCAACCTTTCAGGATTACTTGAAAGATCCAAAAGTTCAACTAAATAGTAAATACTAGACTCAAAAACCAAAATGACCACCCTGTAAATCACAAACCCATTCTTAATAACTTCAGCACTGTATTTGACCTGCCATTCCCTAATCACATAACAAGACGACAACGACAACAACCAAAAAAAAAAAGAAAAATGAAAATGAAATGATATTAAAAATTTCACACAAAGACACATGTACATTAAGCAGCGTGTCATTTTGCATTGCTGCCAGAAAGATAAAAAATGCAAGAGAACATATGGCTAAACTAAAATTTGCTATGATAGAGCAAGAAGTTATACCTTTGGCTGTGAAAATGTTGACCTCATTGTAAGCAAAACCCTCTCTAAGCTTCTACAAACTTCATCTTCAGTCTTTCCATCAATTAAAAGCAGCTGTCCTTTTGGCTCTGATAAAATGTTGGGACATAAGGCATGGAATGGATTAGATAAACAAATTTTAAAATCATACGAAGGTCAATCTTCAATTTAGGCATGTAAACATCCAACCAAAAATCAATTGGCAACAGGTAGGTCTATAGGTTTTCCCTTAACTCAATGATGTGGGGTTTTTCCACTTAACACTCCCCTTCACATGTAAGCCCACTGGGCTGTCACATGGACTCACAACAATGGCCCATCAGTCCCTGACAAATTCTGCAGCAATGACCTGTTGGGTCAGGCACTAGACTGGCTTGCTGCAACGAGTGATGTCAAAGGCCAGCAATGAAGCAAGAAGCAAAGCAATTGCTTCTTTGCAGTGAAGTGAACAACAACAACAACAAAGAAGAAGAAATAATGATACATGAAGATCATATTTTTCTTGTAAATTGCTTCACTTGATGTAAACTTGAAGTACTACAAACTTATAGGCATTATAAATTGATTCAATTGATATACCAAAAAATAAAATTATTCAATTGATGATATATTGCTTGTATACTAGTTTCAATTGATATATGAAGAAACTATTATGATTAAAACTAATTAAGATTGGTGGACAGAAAATAAACAACTTATAGGATAGTAAACTTAAAACATTGTGGGATTTTGAAAGCAGCCAAAACAACAACACTAAGCCCATCCTAATATAATATTAAAAACACTATCACAGTATCATACATTATCCCCTATCAGTTCTATTAGCTTTCCAAATTAATGTGATTTTTGACCTGCCAAAACAAGAGAATGGCATGCTAGAGGACCAACATTGACAGGAGCTAAAGCTCCCACACTTGCTATTTTATTCTAAAACGGTTCAAGATATTCATGTGACAATTGAGAATGAGTGGATTTGATCCAAAAGGTCAGGATGCCAAACCAAAACAATAGCAGCAGAATTGAGGAAGAAAAAGAGCTTGGTTTAATGCTTCAGCATTGCTTCCTTTAAGTGAAGCGCTTTAGGGGTTTTGAAGCAGTGGGCCTTTACACTTAAGCAACTTCTTCAACTGCATTTGACATCACTGGCTGCAACCACCCTTGGGTTGTGCACACAATTAGATCAGCAACACTAAATGAGCTAACAATCCCTGGGCTCTAATACCATGTAAATAGCCAACCTAAAACCCATTGGAAATAGGTGAAGTAGACAATATTGTATTTGTATTTTGTCTTTGGTCCACAGATTCCCCCTTAGCTAACTGGGATGGGATTTTCCCTCGTAACATATATTTTCTTGTGACCACAACAACATTAAATGAAATAAGTGTAGGTATTAAAATTTGAAATCAAAAGGCTAAGTCACTTTCATTACATTAGACAAACAAATCTAACAAAGGATCTTTAGCATAACCTGAGGCAGAGCAGATCAGATGCAGGTACATGCAATTATGCCATAACAAAAAGTCAAGCATATAAAGTCAGAACTCAGCTTCAGATTAACCAACAAATATAACTCTCTAAGGCTTTGGGAATAGAAAATATCTAATCTAGGCAATTGAAACAAATGCACTAACCAAGAAAACCATTTTTGAGATATTTGAAATAAATGTAAATAGAAATTAATTTACCAGGTGAAATAAAATTGCAAGAAAGAGCGATCTGTATGGCAGTGTTCTGCTTGTCTCCTGTTAGCATCCAAAAATTTATTCCAGCTTTCCTGAGTGTCTCAATTGTTTCTGGTACACCATCCTGAGATAATAAAGCCAAAAAGTCAGGAAAATGACCACATCATAATGTTTAGAAATAGATGGGGTAAAATTGAAAATTATTCATTAAGTGTGATTAACACTTGGATATACCTGTAAACGATCCTCAATTGCAGTAACCCCAAGAACTTCAAGATTATGTTCTAATCTTTGGCACACCTCAGCAATTCTCCACTGCAGAAAACAGCAGCTTAAGTCAATTGACAAGGGTTCAGGTGTATGGATCACCAAACATGACAAGAAAAATGCAGAAGATAAACCAGGAAATAAGATAGATAAAAGATTATAGGTTTGTACCCCTTACCTCCCTATCAACCAATGTGCTACTAGCCTCTTTGAACATAAAAGACCACTCCCGGTATTCATTTTCTTTTAACTCACGCCAAGCCAAGCATAATGTCCGAAGCCCCAACTGAGCATATTGCTCCACAGCGTCAACAAAAGTTCTTGTTTGTTGTCCTGAAGAAAATATTAATGTTAAACATACACAACAACTACATCATGGAAGTCTTTTTATTCTAAGAAAAATTGTTCAATTTTCCAAATAACAACAACAACAACAACAACAACAACAACAACAACAACAATAATAATAACAAAAGCAGAATATTCTATTCATAATAATTGGCAAATTAACATAAATGAGCCTCCTTACAAGTCCTCACTCCAGAAAAAAACAAAAAAATACAGAAAGAAGCCTGTGGGCTGTGGATGACAGCAAGAGCTGTTGTCAGTATCTACTAATCATCAAATTAATAAATATCAAATGAGGAGAAGGAAATCAACAACTGAATGATTAAGACCCCTGAAACTACAAAGAAATCAACTTTACTGTATTAAGACAGGCTGAAGACA